TAATGAAAGAAAAACAAATATGTAGCACGGCAACAAACGACAACCACTGAATTACAGGCTCCTGACTTGGGACAGGCACATATAGAATGGGGTGGGTTAAACCTGTTAGCGCGCGCAACCCTCCCCTAACCTGGGACAGTGATGTAACAGTACAACATAAGAACAGACTATAAAAATCAGTTGAAAAAGACTTAACTCAACAGATGGATACAAATAAAAATACATTTAACAAAATCACAGAGTGGACGTGGGAGGGTACCTGTACATCCCAACAACAAAAAGACACTAAGTACAAATTTGAAAGTAATCGCAGTTTTTGACAGCTGGTTCAAAGCCAATAACAACTCACAAAAAAAGCATGCATCTAAGATTTAATTATCAATCAGTACACATCCAACATCCAATGGATTTATATGTCTGTCTACGGAATAAAACTGTTCCTGTGGCTCCCTTTGCGGGCGATAAATTGCATGAGATGTACCGTCTCCTGCCTCAGTCCGGGCCATCACCCTTGCAAGGACAACCACTCGTTTTGCGACGACCAATCCAATAGAGAAAATGTCTCCCACAACAACGATACTATACCGTCAATTGTATGTGACATAGTGAATAGAAAAACATCAAACGACAAAGACAAAATTGAATAACACGAATAGAATTAAGTTCTTAGCCACAAAATTATCATCAAAAGGCGATTTCTGGGAGACCAGTTGCACATGACCGATTCATAAGGAGGCAAGTTCCAACATTTTTAAAGGTTTTGGTTTTGACTAAGAATCTGATTCTGATTCTTTTTAAAATAAACAGAATATCCTATTATATGAGTCATTTCTTTTTGTTATATATATCGCTTTGTCATGTTTACATATTTTAAAAATAATATATACATGTAATTGTGTAAAATCAAAATCAACTTTATCATATTAGGTTTTTATGGGAATTCGAAGTATGTTTAGATTCAAGTTCTTTTTTAAACCTTTTTTTTATATAAATGAATTGTAATGAATGGTAATTTAGAGTATTGTAATAAGACAATAAGACAGAAAATGACAGACCTGTAGAGAGGAACGTAAGTTTAAAACAATAGACAAGTGTTTATGTTCAAGTAATGCGTTTGCGTGTGTTCAATAATTTTCGTGACAACATTATGTATTTTGTAATTACATGTATGTTTCACGAGAATTTGTTAGTTTGATTGCTAACTACAATTGCGCGTCATTCAAAAATTAACCTTCATATCAAAATGAAATGTTGCATTCGTGATGACACGTGCTTCTACGAAAAAGCGCACAGGTAAATAAAAGAAAAACTTTATAAAACTTTTTTTCATGGTCTTGATAGCATAAAAATGTAATTATAAGAAATTAATGCTTCTTTTTTGTAATTTTATTGGGGTGTGAAAGTGTTGATGGTGCACAAGTTTTTAGTATGAAGTGCGGAAGAATTGTGCTTTGGTTGACACTTTTACACCCCAATAAAATAACAAATTAAGAAGCATTCATTTCTTAATAGACATTTGCGGAAACTAGCTCTATACCTAGGATTACACCTAGACTTACGATTACAGTTGACAAAAAACAAGGGGTGATCTCAAAATAAAAAAAAAATATGGAGATACATAGTAAAACCAAATGATCTTTTTTGTATTGTAAATAAGTCTTTTCGGCGACATACTAATGCAGTGTTACTGTGTATGGCCAGAACAGATTCGAATCGGCTTCGCTGGATGTCACAAAAAAATCCCTATGAATTTGTATTTTTTTTTTAATTCTCCGATGGCGTGATCAACCTTTGCTCTATAGTGCGTAATAAATCTGTATATTTTTCTACACTTATTTTCTTGCTTATTTTTTGCTTTCACGATTGTACACTTTTGTATCGGCAACTGCTCCCTAACCGACTTTAATAGTGTGCTATTTTTTTTAACAACTTTTCCTCGCCTGATTAACCTTTGTATCTTTTTATCCCTTTTAATCTAAGGGATACTTTTGAGGATAGACTTGTGTTGAAATGAACACCGTTTGATAAGTGTACTCTATGATAGTACAATTTCAAGAAAATTGTACCAGTTTCGCATCATGTTTCTAGCAGACCAAACCCCCATGTTCAGGGAGAGAATTATATACACGGTGAAAAAAACGTCCATACTAAAGCGATTCACAAGATATCTATAAAAAAAAATGCACAAAAACAAACAACCCAGGATCTTGTAGTAATTTTTCCTGCGTCGTTGAAGGCGAAAGCAGGTTTATTAACCGACTGACTCTTTCCGTCCGTTCATGTCTTAAAAAAAATTTGGGTCGGAAAGTTTTCTTGTCTTTCTTTAAGGGATTCATTTTATAGTTCGTTATAATTGATAATTACGAGTTGCAGGGTGTAAGTATTTTCTACATCTGCCGTGCAGCCACTTCTTGTTTGGCGATAGTTTGACATTTTACAAGAAGGACTATTTTCGTTTAGGTTTTCTTGACTTGAAAGAAGGGAATGCTAATTTTTGCTTCGGAATCAGAATAATCCAACCTCAATCAATGAAGCAATTCAGGTTTAGAATTGGTATTGTTCTTGCTTTAAAAGGTAGATATTGGAATTCCAACTATTTGAGTACACCTATTTCACATTTCAACAGAGATTTTATATTAAAAACATGGACAAAAGTGTTTGCCTTATTCAGAAAATTTAAAAGATAATAAAAATATACCGAACGTCAAGTACAATGCCATGACGAATGAATGTTTCTTTAACACGTACCCGCTGACCCTCTCATACTCTATGTCTATGCATAAACATTACACGAGGGGCCGTCTTAAACTTGCAGTGAGGTGACAGATTTTTTGCTCCTTGCTGATGGCCTCACTGTGACTTTGAGATGAAGAACAGCAATAAAAGCGCTGTTCATTTTCTTTTTGTGTTTATAGTTGTGCATGTACTGATGTGTGTGTCATGAATACCTCATATCCTTTGTTTTTAAATTATAAACATTATTCATTTTAAACGTGCTTCTTAGTTGTTCGCCGTTTCTAAACACAGTTTTTCTGAAACGAATTTCCAAATGTTCCAACCTAGCCAACGACATTTGCGATTTTTTTTATACATATCGTGTAAAATTTATGAAATGGTGTTAACCATTCTATAATATTCACGACCGTGCATTTGCATCATTTCCAACCTTGAAAATACCATGCGTAATAATTAATGTATTCACATTACTACATAATTTCTTTTTAAAACCCCGTTGTTCAACTATAGAAAAACTGCATAAGAGTTAGACTTTGTTTTGGAACGACGTTTTATATTTCCACTTTGAGACGACCCATGATTCAAATGCTACCTGTAAGTGTAAATGTAATCCTAATCGTAGGTGTATGACAGTTTCCGCAAATGTCTAATAAAATAGGTATTTGCTATCATTAAGCTGTTATATTTAAATTGAATGCTTATAGTATTTTAAATTATTTACAGTTTGAACTTTGCACTAACTCGGCAATTATGATTTTACAAAATTCAGATGATTTCTTTTCGATGATAGTTAAAGGTCTGCGCCAAAAACAGCTTTGAATGTAGGCCAACCTCTCAATTGTTTTGTTTTATTAACATAGTTGAGTAAATAAAGTTTTTACTTTAGAAATTAAAAAAAAATCTCGTTAAAACGATTAACCTGTCATTTAACATTGATCTGAATAAAATAAAACAGTGAAGGGGGATCCCCTGTTACTTTAAATCACATTTAAAAATAAGATTAATAGCCGAATCTCATTTCTTAAGTATATTTACCCAAATCTAATATCAGATTAAAATTAACGACTGAACTTTGTTACATGGTACCTGTATTTCATTTGAAGATACCCGGATCTTCACTTCATATAATTTCACCTTTAATGCATTTTTTATAGTTTTCCGCGTAATATATGTTTTAATGAACCCTTTTAATGAATAATATAAAATAACAAGTCGACTGCAATTGCACTGTTGTTGCCAAAAATATATCCTTCCTTCTAAATATTTCAGACTTAACAGTGGTGCGAAGCTCCGTGCTGAACAAATATATTTATTATACGATGTTCACAAGCGTTCTTGTCCCTGGCATTGCCCGATAAAAAACGGCACAACAGACGTAAAATGTTCATAGTCAGTAAGAGATAATCATGTTTTATTAAAACCAAAATGCATTTTTTATCATTTTCGGTAGGATGTAATGAATACACATACATTGACCTAATGGAATATACACGATCATTAGTAAATTTTAATATGGAGATATAGATCCCAAGGATGGCTTTGAATAGAAATATGGTCACTCACTGTTGGTCTTCTTCCGACTGGCAGTATAACCCTTGCCAAAGTTGAATCGTCGAACTTTTGATTATGTGGGATGTCTAAATAAGCAGCTACGTAAACGTTCGATCAGAACTGCATGGGAACGTTAAATCTGGTGCCTCGTGTAGAGAGAGTGCCAGCTCTGTACATTTACTGCAGCAACACTTTCAGGGTTCCGTATGGTTGCAAGGCAAATTTCTGTCCCTATCAAATATACCCTTATTTTTTAACGGTAGCCCAAATTTCCAGCCCATACTACAGGACATACCTATCGTAATTATTATTAATTTGATCTCTTTCTGGCCATGCATGAAATATTGCCAATGGATGTTAAGCAAACAAAAATCAATCAACTATATGGGGATTTATTGGGACTCAAGCTATGTGTGCTGTCCCACAATATAGCATTAACCAATATTAACGTGGTAAATGTTTGGGGTACTGTTTTGTGTCTTTTGGTCGTATTTCTTTTTTTTTGCCATGGCATTGTCAGTTTGTTTTCGATTTGTGAGTTTAAATGTCCCTTTGGTATCATTCACCTCTCTTTACCAGATACGGATCCAGGATTTTGAAATAGGGGCCGTAAGCTAGCCTCCTGTTCCCCTATATCCGTCTCTGTTTACTGACCGTGTATACACCATCTTAGGTCACTGATTATCTGCGTAAAGTAAATTGTAAATAAATACCTTCTTTCTGAACTTTGGATCATATTGATAGGAAGCACTGCTCCGACAACATTGAGGCAGAGACGATGTATTGGAGAACGCAGCTTCCTCTTCACGGACCTTTTTAGCGACAATGTCCAAGCTTTTTTTCAGTTCGCTCAAACTCGAAGATATATTTGATCGTATCTAAATATAGTAAATCAATTATATACATGGTATATATATTTTTGTTAAAACTGAAATGATTTTCAATTTTACTTGCAGATTATATGAGGGTGTGGATGGGGTTTACAGAATAGGGAATAATTAGCAAAAACAAATAAAGAATAAATAGAGAAAAATGGGATAAAATAGAGAATAATGAGGTGCTAAAAAAATAAAGAATAACTGCAAAAGTTAAAGAACTGGGTAAAAATATACTGATTACAGAGAGAAAAAAAACAATGTCCGGAATACAAATATCAAGTAATTACAGAAAATCCATTATTTTTAAAGATAAAGATTAATGAGCAAAAAAGTTAAAGAATGAAGGACCCTATCTATACCATCTTATATTGTGCATGTAGGTACAAATGATAGAAAATAACATAATAGAGAGCTGCAGAAACCGTACTGAAAAAAACATAAATATTTCCCTGATCAAGGTGAATTGAACAGATACCATAACAATAAATGTGTTTGTACTGCAGCTCGAACACTTCCTGCTGTCTTTATCTTCCAAATATTATAACAAAGACCTAAAGTCATATTTCGTGCAATGTCGATTTCACGTCGAGTCATTTTTCTTCATAATTCGAGGTTCGTATAGGAATGGAAAATACGTTTATTTTTGTTTTAACATTTTCAAAACTATAATTAAGGCAAATTCTGGCTGCAGTAGAAACACAATTTTAGGTCAATGTAAAAAAAAATATCAACTTTTTTTAATTTTGCACGAACAGTTGAAAACCTCGCCCTTCCTCAGTTTCTAAACCTCATACAAAACAATCAATATTTTTCTGACATTGACCTAATATCATATATTTATCTTATCTCCTTTACATTTCTTGGAATATCGTTGGTTAAAAGCAAACACACGGAGACCCTGTATATTTAATATTGGGTTGGTTGGCGTGTTTTATTTAAACATTTATATAAAGAACAGATCATAGATGAATACAGACATCGAACGAAAAGAGTACTAGTAATAATGTTGCTTTAAAAGCGATATATTATAATTATGCTTACTTTTTGAAGTAATACATTGCCGTCGTCTGACTTCGGGTTAAAAGTTATGTTATTGTATACTTCCTACAATAAATGGCGTAATAAAGTGTTAGAATAAACTTTGAAATAAAATGATTTGAATCAAGATTCGTAGGAGCTACGGTTTTAGGCCGCAAAAGGCAATCCCACTCCCAACCAACTTTTTTTTTGGAATCAAAAATATCGAAAATATAGAATTAAAATGGAAAATGACTAACTTCAAGACTATTATACTATTGAAGAGGCTTGTTTTTAATTTTTGCTTGTCACTTTCAAACTTGTGTCCCCCTATTTTCAATCTACTCTTACACCACTGCAAAGTTATCTGCACATGCGCTGTTTACATTAACCTACTTATAAATTATAATAGCAGTCTGTATCAGATTTGAGGAATACTAAAGTTATCAAATGCATAAAAAAGTAACTTGTACCAGAAATACCCGAATATTTCTACAGTACAAAAGACCACGAAACACTACCCTAAAAAGTAAAGAAAAAACGAAAAAAAAACAAACACGAGCAACATTGGTCTAAATAGCCTGACAAGATACTGGCACAAAACGTTATGGAGTAAAACTAGTTTTACGTGACCATACCCCCCCCCCTTTTTTTTGCCTATTTATACAACATGTAAAACATTATTTTTAAGTTTAGTAAAATCTTGACGGTGCAGCTACATAAACCTACAGGATGACTATTAAGTAACTGAAAAATGAACTAAGTGAATGTACTAAATTGCGACACTGGCCCGTATGCATAAAACATCTTAACTTAAGTGTTCCTTAGACTTAGATTTCACTAAGAATTCCCTTAGTTAAGTGAAATTCTTAAGTCGTACGCATAAAAATACTTAAGTCTCCACTTTACTAATGAATACTTAAATCGGAACCTTTCTCTAATTACCGTATGATATATGTTAGCTCATCGCATGTCCTCATCCGTGCAAAGTTTGTTTTGATTATTGAAATTGGTTTTTCAACAGACAACCATATATTTTTCAACTTCTACAATACATGATCAAGATTATTTTTAAATCTATTTTGATTTAAAATTTAAAAAAAATATCACTTCCCTTCCACAAGAATGATAAAAGGGGTATAGGATCAATTTTCCATGAATTCATATCAAAACAGGGTCACTTTTTAAAAGTCCTCCAATTTTTACTAAAACACACAATATCTGATTCATATGTTTACTGTAAGGTATTATCATCATCTTGGCGTATTTCCGAATACTTCACTTGAAAGTTATCAATACATAAAGATGACTCAAAACTGCATGCATTCTTGCTAGATTTTAGAAAAATTTGAGCAATCATTCAAAAAATCACACTATAATTTATTTAATTTTAATTCTTCCTTCTTTGCAAAATTTTGAATTTGATGTGATTATTTTCGTGAACAGCGTTAACATGTGTAAAAACTCTGAGTACAATATACTTTTAGGAATACACAATAGCGAGATTGAGACATAAGGGTAGAATGAAATTATAATAATACCCTCTATTATGATCTCTTGATTTCGTTTATTATACATGATTTTAAGAAAATAAAAATTTTCGTTGATTAAAATATTAAGCAATAAACAAACGAAATATCACTATATAATTATTAAAATCAATTAAATGGTAGTTAATCTATCCATTTTTCTGCAAAAACGCATACTTTCGACTGATAATGATTTCATCTATTTTTTTGTAATTTAAGGTAGCTCTATAGGTTTTTATAGTAACTGTACAGGATATAACTTTTTAATATGCCAATATTAGTAATAGTATGCAGTATATAGATTGTAGTCCTCACAACAAAATTGACAAAGACTTTAAGGTCGAAATATTTCTCTATTTATTTTCTAATTTTGCTTTGTGTTCTCAAGTTTTTTGTGTTTTACATTAACCTTTAAACTAACAATTCAAGTTTGCATGCACCTTTCACGATTTGATTACACAAATCGTTCACGAAAAAGAAATTAAAACTTTAAATCTATCTGTGTCTCCTATAATTATAACCAATGAAAGGATCTTATGAAACTGTATTGACACTAGCAAACTTATAATGGAATGAAAGTTGATTTTAATATGACAGTTGTTATCCATTCGTTTGATGTGTTTGAGTTTTTGAATTTGCCATTCGATTAGGACTTATATCTAGAAATTGACTATGAGGGTCGGTTGAAAACAAAAATTTACAACAAAAGAGATGATTTCAGCTTCCCAATCATGACCTTTTCATTTTTAAACCAAGAGTTCTAAATGGTGCAGTTGAAATCATCACTCAGTAAATTTTACGGACGCCATCACGAGTTGGTTGACCGTTATGGAATATCCGTTTCACAGATGATATCGGATATGTTCCTTATGTCGTAACTACAATCCCGTTCCCTTTTCACGAATGTGACCTACCGAATCAGACTATTTACCGGCTTTGTAATAACATGAGCAACACGACGGGTGCCACATGTGGAGCAAGATCTGCTTACCCTTCCGGAGCACCTGAGATCTTCCCCAGTTTTGGTGGGGTTTGTGTTGCTGTTGTACCCCTATTTGTGACATTTTTACCTATTGTGTCTGTTTGTTTTGTTCACACATCGTTGTCAGTATAATGGAATTTGATGCGACTGTCGTACAAGTGAGAGGTTTAACTAGCTTTAAAACCAGGTTTAATCCTCCATTTTCTACATAAGAAAATGCCTGTACCAAGTCAGGAATATGACAGTTGTTATCCATTCGTTTGATGTGTTTGAACTTTTGATTTTGCCATTTGATTGGGGACTTTCCTTTTTGAATTTTCCTCGGAGTTCAGTATTTGTGTGATTTAACTTTTTATATGTCGAAGTTTTTTATTTTTTGTTCTGATTTTCTTTTAAGTTCGTAAAGACATGAATAGTAGTATAATAATTCCTATTATATTGTGTTTGTACGCATTCTCATGCGTGGGTAGATTTTCAGCTGATCTAAATGTGTATTTTTGATTTCATGTATAAGTTCAATCATACAGCATAATTGATAATACTTTATGATTATTAATAACATTCAGCCATGCATATAAAAATAAGGAGATGTGGTATGATTTCCATAGAGAAAACAATCCGCCAGAGTACAAATGTCGACGTGGATATAAGCAATTAATATATGCAATAAAAAAATGGAAAAAAAAACTCATACAAACATATCGTATAGTAAGCTATTAAAAAGGCCTCGACATGCAAATTGTGATACAATTTATACGACAAAACAAACGGCCTAGTTGATAAAAATGCAATTTACGACAAACAAATATGAAAGACAGGAACAACTGAATTACAGGCTAAATAGGTTTTTTTTCAAACAAAACCCAGAGCAAAGCTTGTTTAGAAACATACATGTTTAGGAAGTACAATTATTCTACCTGCATATGATCTACTCCAACTCCTTTCTTTATCTCTTTTAATCTGTCTGATAACTGTTGTCCATTTAAAATTTCATCTACACTAATGGCGGCGTGAAGGAAAGTTATCAACACTAAAAACTTCATTTTTACGCCAACGTAGAAACCAATTTGCGTATTGTCTTCATGTTATGTGAATCTGTCATGCAAACAAAATATTGTTAAATTCAGTATCATCAGAAATATTTTCACCTCGATTCTTCAAAAATAATTCCTTTTCTTTAGAAATTAGAATTTGTAGTTTTACGTATCACAGCAAGGAATACATGTAAAAAAAATTAAAGTTTTCCTTATATAGAAACATTATATAATTGACCTATACATTATTTTACATAATACGTAAAAAGGTTTGGAATTCAATTTGGTTTAGAAAAAAATTCAATAGCAGGCGTTTTTACCTATTTTTTCCTTATTCATAGCTGAAGAAAACCTTTAAAAGTAAACAATCGTTCATGCTATAAGATTTTTATCATTATCATTATTTCAAACAAATCTGAAAGCGTATACTTCTTGCATCCTCGTTATTTGTCACATACATTATTCAAACTTTGTGTATCGTTTTTAAACAAATGTTCTGGACATTATTTTGAAAAATTGTATCCAATAATAAAAAAAAATGTATGGCTGTTACTACGAATATCTAAGTGTTTCATTGGCGACCAATTGATTTTCGGGGGAAGAAGGGTTTTCTGGACGGAATAATTATTTGCACCTGTTCATATCAAAGTAAGACAATCGGATTTTTTACATCTCCACACTTACGTGTCTTTTCTTTTTATACAGATACTTATGAAGATTCCAGTTTTTTTTGGCAACGCGAAGGAAAAGTTAAGATTCACGATTTGTTAAATGATAAACACCAAAAATAATTTAAAACAAATGAGAACTTGAAAATTACAAGTACAATAGCATTTGAAAACTCAACCGCATCCCCTCTTACGAAAAAATTGACATGAGTCTTAAAAGATGGCTGTGTTCAAAGATTATTTCTTGCAGTAGCGTTTAAGAATATGGAAATATAAAATGTCAAATAATGGTTAGGGGAGAGACAGAGGCAGGGGGTCTCCAGACATATCAACTCAATGATAAAAGTTAACAGAAAACTATAGAAGTTGATTACACAAAACTGGTACGGTAACCCACTTCTTAAATTTTGCGACAATGACATAAGTCATTGAAAAAACACCTCATCTTTTTATTGATGCACATTTGGATTATATGTTTGGAATTGGTCTCTCCGAAATTTTAAGGATCTTGGTTCAAAAATGCAGGAATATTTTTTTTTTGTAATTCTTGATAATGCATACTGTTGTTTGTTTATTTTTTTCTTAGCCATTTTTTTTTTTCTCTATGACGTCAGAGTTTTATTGTCCGTGTCATATTAGTTGCTTCCTTTAATGATATTAACGCCTTCCATGAACACTATAAAGCGTCCTGGTTTATAAAATTCAATGAATATTATTCATTAACAATCAAATGTTAAAGGGATATCTGTATCACACTAAAAAATAAAAATTGCAAAAGGTGATGTACATTCATCTTGTGACACATTATGTGTATGAGAGTTTACAATAAAGAATTTGAACTTGGAACTTTGGTTACTCTAATTGTATGGCTGATTTATATCTGTCTCTACGTTTTGTTGATGAACAATAGTATTTTGTTACATTGGCGTGTTTGTCGGTTTCAGTCATTTGACGTTTTCAATAAAGGAACTGGAAAATGTTTTGTTTCTTTTTAAATATTTTATTCTATGATTTCCAAGTATGGCAGGGTAAGATCTTGAAAAATTAAAAATTTATAAACAAAATATAGATTACGATGTCTGCTTTGTTAAAAAGAGGCTTAAACTAACACCGTGTATCATCGGTACAGCGGATATAGGTACTAACCAAGCGGGCGTGATCGATTTTTAACTGAAAAAGCTATATACCGTACATTCACTTAACTATGCACCATACAGAAGGATTCATGTGGTCAGCTATACACCGTACACAACGCTTCTTTTCGGAATAAAATATCGAAAAATAACAAATGTATGAAAGATTTCAATGCCAATTATTGAAACAGCTATACTTATTACGCACACCCAGTGGCCTTCTATCAGAAAAAGAGTTGCAATGAATATAGAATCATATTGGATGAGACGAGCGCCAACTTCTTTGACAAGTATTTGCATATGTTTTTAGTAAGCGTTCTTGTTTTGGGAAAATAATGAGACTTCTCTAATCATCAACCTACGACCAAATCATTTCTTAAAACAATAATTATGTTTAGATTGAGGTACATATTGATATTATGTAAACAAAACAAAGATTTTCTTATCGTGTCAGGTCAAAATCGATCACGCCCGCTTGGTTAGTACCCATATCCGCTGTACCGATGATACACGGTGACTAATGATGTTGTAATTTCGTTGATTGAATTGAAATTTTTCTGACAAATCTGAAAATTTCGAAAACAGGTCTTTACGGGAATAAAACAAAAATAAACTCAGGCCACACCAATTTAATTCCTTGTTCGACGGACCCGCCCGCACATATTTTTTTCTAAACAGAAAACAAATATTTTTTTAATATTCCCGCTTCCCGCATCCGGAAAAGTAATCGTGTCTATTTCCCGCGCCGTTTTTTTGTTGTAAACATTGAAAAGATAAAAAGCGATCGCAAGAGCGTTTTAGTCAACATCAAATCGCCACATTTTAACTTGTTTTGAGCATTAACACAGATTTCTTATCAAATTCATGGTGGCACGGTAGTATTTCCTGGCCCATAAGGGATAATGATAGCCTTTTTAGAATTTTCACCACTTTCTAACACTGCAAAAAATTCTCTATTCACAGTTAACTGAAGTACTTTCATTTTACTATTCAGAAATGAATTTGAATGTGTATCATGACCGTTTACTTTTTTTGCTATTTTTAAAAATCTAAGGCCACTAGTGCTTTTAGGTCTTTTATCGTGCAGTGAATACAAAATTTAAAAAAAATCTCAAAAAGTCCTTTTCATCTGTATGTAAAATTATTTCATATTTTTCTACACCTGATTCATCACTGAGTTTGGGAAAGTATGTTCAGTTGATACTGTATTTTTTGTCCAATCACACTGTTCAGATACATTGACTTAGGTAGGGTACACAAAAGAGCAACCTAAATACTGGAATGCAAATACTACCGTGCTACCTTAACCAAAACATTACAAACTTGAAATCAGTCATGACACTTATGATGCATAGACTTCTTACTATGAAACATATTACAATAAAGAATACTAGTCAACATTAATTTTTTGCCAAAAAAAAAGTCAAAGATTACACCCCTACCCCAGCTGGCAGATTTTCACTTTTTTTCATCTTACCATTTTTACTTAAGGAGTGAACAAAACCCAAATATACCATGTTTCAAATCAACACAGAAGTCAAACATGGTGATTCAGGAGGTATTATTGAATTGCCAACTCTATTTATAGTTAATCTGACTGAAAGAAACAGTTTAAGCACCAAATCATGAAAAATTATACTGTAAATTGAGAAATTATTGCGAGGTTTTTTATTAATGCGAATAATGCGACTAGATGAGTATCGCAATAATAAGAAATCGCATTTTGATAACTAAAACATAGATCTGTATGTAGATTTTTCTGAAATCGCAATAATTAAAATTGCATTCTTGTCCATTTTTGAAAAATCGCAATAATAAATGCACGCAATAATTTCTGAATTTACAGTATTAAAGTCCATTCCACATTTTACAGCATGCCTCACATTACTTTAAGCATTTCCAGATTATGAAGGCAACACAACAAGACTCTTTAGATGGCAATTAACTATTATTCTAAAATCTATTTGACAATACATGTACTAGAATATATCTCTAAGTTGACTGTTTGTCTATTTCTCATGTATGCATTAAGTTAAATTATGTCCCCTTACATAATCAGTTTACCTTTATTATGCTTTTCATTGTTAGAAAATCAAAACAATTAATAACATTTGCAAGGAAAATGAATAAACTATTAAATCTTGCTGATATACAATCATAATTACATTCTTTGTCAAAAAAAATGTCTTGTCAGTGTAAAGAAACCCCTATTGCTATCTCTATTTCAGCCAAATATGAGGACTAAATGAATAAGTAAGGACCCCTTAACTACTTAATGGTTTCAAAAAAGCTCATACTGGTGTCATGTTACCACAGAACTATAAATTAAACCTGAAGAAAACTAGTATAGCTGTACTTGTGTGGAAAAAAATAAAAAATTATGCAAATCATCTATTTCGGTGAAAATAATAGGACGTACAGGCAACTAAAATATGTCGCGTCTCAATTTCCAGTGGTTGCACATGTGTCAGACAGTGCGAAAAGTTAAAGCGAGCATTTATGATTAAAAAAGTACTGCAAGTTACTTAAAAATAATGAAGTTCTACTTTATAGGTAAATTTTTACATTATTACCCACAGATCAGGCAAAATTTGCTGAATCAGCAATTTTCACTCCCAGGGATGGAATTTAAGGGCTATTTTTATTACAGTTGCCTTTAATCAACTTTTAATTGATAAACATATAAATTTCATAGGTAAAAAAAAATCCTTTATTGATTTAGTGTAATCATATATATCCCCCTTAAGGTGGCACGGTAGTATTTCCTGGCCCATAAGGGATAATGATAGCCTTTTTAGAATTTTCACCACTTTCTAACACTGCAAAAAATTCTCTATTCACAGTTAACTGAAGTACTTTCATTTTACTATTCAGAAATGAATTTGAATGTGTATCATGACCGTTTACTTTTTTTGCTATTTTTAAAAATCTAAGGCCACTAATGCTTTTAGGTCTTTTATCGTGCAGTGAATACACAATTTAAAAAAAATCTCAAAAATTCATTTTCATCTGTATGTAAAATTATTTCATATTTTTCTACTCCTGATTCATCCTTGAGTTTGGGAAAGTATGTTCAGTTGATACTGTATTTTTTGTCCAATCACACTGTTCAGATACATTGACTTAGGTAGGGTACACAAAAGAGCAACCTAAATACTGGAATGCAAATACTACCGTGCTACCTTAACCAAAACATTACAAACTTGAAATCAGTCATGACACTTATGATGCATAGACTTCTTACTATGAAACATATTACAATAAAGAATACTAGTCAACATTAATATTTTGCCAAAAAAAAGTCAAAGATTACACCCCTATCCCAGCTGGCAGATTTTCACTTTTTTTCATCTTACCATTTTTACTTAAGG